GCTTCAGATCTTCGCTAATTACAGAGTTCTTTGCCTTGGATTGCTTTCCACTGATGACTTTCGATTTAAAGCCCGAAAAATATCTCGGTGTGGGTTATAAATATAAATATATTTATAAATAATAAATATGCCGACAGAGATTATGACAATAGTCCGAATAATGGAAATAGTGTACATAATGTCTCATCTCAGAAATATCGACAGATTTAATTTTATATTTTCAACTACAGATATTTTGTTCATAATTTTATAATTTCAGTGTAAATGTTTTTTAGATATATATTTTGTAGATCATGAAATCTATTGTTGATAATTTTATATAAAAAAAAGATTTACACATTTTTAGCACTGCATTCATGATCATTTTGCTATAAAAATGTATTGTTGGTCATTTAATTATAAGAATGTACTGACGAATTCTATTTGGGGTTTCACTATTTGCTCATAGCTGGGACCCTAACAGGTGCTACCACTCCAGGTGAGTGTGGACCTGAGAATATAATCACGGAGAGGTGGTTCCAAGCTGCTCAAAACTACCAATCTCCCAATCAGTGGCCTTGCTGCCGGTTGTAGTTTATCGTCCTACACGTGAAGCACTTGTTTGTGTCTGTGTGTGTTTATATTTGTATGTGTTTGTGAGTGTGTCCGTTCTCCTATCGCGGTAAAGTGACAAAGTCTATTGACTTAATGTTTATCATGGAGACTAACAAGTTATCCATGTAAGCTCTTCTATGTTGACTGTGGCGGTCATTCGAGGTCACTAGATTTAATCAATGATACCATGCCATTTCTATCTAAATTTAGCCATTCTTACCAAAATGGATTCAAATATTGCGTTAGGTTTGTAGAACAATTCATTTCCCACGGAAATGGTAGTTTGTTTCAATTTATATTTGACCGCAAAGCTCGTCGGGAATCATTCGATAATATGGTCCTAATATTTACTAGCACGGATACTAAATGTTAAACGTGGTACTGGGTAAGAGGACTTTGGTAGGAAATGATGAGTAAAAGCGTAGTATGTGTCATGCCCGAGATCAGGTAACCTCATAGTCGCCGGGTGTAGACTCGTTTGATTGATCCAGGAATTCACATCTGAGAAAGAACCGTATGAAAGATATATGCACACCTACACACTAAAGGAAAAAAAGTTTCATCTAACACATTTATAAATCTACCATTACCTATGCATTGAATATTGCTGTCACATCTGATCTACTGTTTTTGCTACGTTTTTAGATAAAATCCAAATAATAATATGCACTGTTAATGGTCCTGACCTGGCATCTCCGCTTCAGTTACTTTCCCATAGCTGTAACCTAGCTTCCTTGAAATTTTTCTATAAATATTTTCATGGTAGCTATCTTGATGAACTTTCATCTTTCGTAACTTGACTTTGGTGTTTACATTGTTCAGAATGTTGTCCTCATTTTTATTGTCATATTCAGGTCAGAAGCAAACATGGATTCAAATATTACGTTAGATTTGAAATACAATTTATTTCCCTCCCAAATGATAGGTTGTTTCAATCTATATTTGACCGCAAATCTCGCCTGAAATCATTCGATGTAGAATTAGTTTATGGCCTTAATATTTAGTAGCGCGGCTACTATATATTAAGCGAGGTACTAGGTGGGGTGGACTTTGGTAGGTTATGATAAGCAAAAATGTAGTACAAGTCACGCCCGAGATCAGGTGGTTTCATAGTCGCCCAGTGAAGACATGTTTGATTGACTCAGCAATTCATATCTAACAAAGAACCGTATGGCAAATATATACTCACCTACACCCAAAAGGAGAGGTGTTTCATCTAATATATTTATAAATCTACTACTTGCCCATGCATTGAATATTGCTGTCACATCTGATCTATTATTTTTCGCTACGTTTATAAGAGTTTCTTGATAAAATCTAAGAAGAATTTGCATTGTTATAGGTCCTGACATAGCATCTCCGCTTCAGTTACTTTCCCATATCTGTAACCTAGCTTCCTTGAACTTTTTCTATAAATATTTTCATGGTAACTATTTTGATGGACTTTTCACTTTCGTAACTTGACTTTGCTGTTTACATTATTTACATTGTTCGGAATACTGACCGCATCTTTATTGTGATATTCAGGTCCGAGGAAAGCATGGATTCAAATATGGCGTTAGATTTGAAATACAATTTATTTCCCTCACAAATGGTAGGTTGCTTCAATTTATATTTGACCGCAAAGCTCACCTGGAATCATTCGATGTAGAATTAGTTTATGGCCTTAATATTTAGTAGCGCGACCATGCGCTTCCATTCTTGGTACTGGGTGGGTGACAACTTTAGTGAAAAATGACGAATGTAAGATTGTAGTAAGTGCCACACCCGAGTTTACGTGATCTCATAGTCGCCTTGTGTAGACTCGTGTGATTGGACCAGCAATTCACATCTGAGAAAGAACCGTATGATATATATACTCACCTACCTCCCAAAGCAGAGGAGTTTCATCTAACGCATTTATAAGTTTACGACTCGTCCATGCATTGAATATTGCTGTCAAATCTGATCTCCTCCTTTTGATATGTTTTCAGAGATTCTTGATAAAATCCACAGAAAAATCTGCAATGTTATCGGTCCGGACATGGCATCTCCGCTTTAGTCACTTTCCAACCGCTGAAGTCTAGGTTTCTTGTAACTTTTCTATAAATATTTTCATGGCAATTGTTCTGATGAGATTACCTCTTTGGCACCTCGACTTTGAGCGCAGTACAAGATCGGTAGCTAGAACCCTCCCCACCAATATTCAGTTGGAATGATTGGATGTAACCGTAAGTTCTATGCTAGCAGGTTCTTCCCTCGTACTTCTCACTCATGGAATTGTCTCCCCGCCTCTTGCTTTCCATTCAATTTTGGTTTTCAATAATTTAAATGCAATGTCAGTCGTCATCTGTTTTAGTACTTGTTCTTTTATTGTCCTCTATCCTTAATAATGTGTTTCTTTTTCTTCTGTTAGTTATCATTCGGTAATCCCATGCGTCTTAGTGGCATTATGGCTTTGCTTGGAGTCAGATAAAAAAAAGAGAGCGAATTATTATTATTGCTCGATTTGAAGAGGCAAATTCAAAAAGGATAAGTTTCAGTTAAACAAGGCACTTCACGGAATACAGAATTCCGCACACGTTTGAGTCTGTCTTGAATCAAACTTGATTTTTCTCCTGAAAGGTGGTTACTAAAAAAAGTAACTCCGTTAATGATGCTCTTGCATTCATCGAGCTGTCAAGCAGTTTCTTCCGCTCAAGACGCTGGATATGCCTACGGTAAGTCTTACGGCGTTGATAGTACACATGCTGGGTAGACTCCAACTCTGGTTGTTTTTTGATATTTGATTGTTGAAGTATGGGAGAACAACAAAATTGCTTATGCTGAGCCGAAACGCGCTGGAAGATATATGGAAAACGACAATGCTCTTCCCGTAGATATCACAAAGAATTCCCCCACGTAGTCTTCTTCTGATTTTCGAGAGCAGTCCTCCTCCGCTACAAACGTGGAAACAGAAACACCCCCATCTATAAATATGGTAACGAGCAAGATTTTCGTCTCGATACGAACTTACTGAACGCGTCAGAACCCTTAGACAATCTATAACTGACTTCCTCGACAAGTCTATTATTTAAGTATTATGGTCCAAATTCCTTGTACCACGGTGATGGTCCAAGGTTAGAACCAATGAAAGATTAACACGAACACAGGTATGGAATACAATGATATATTACAACAGAAATATAATACAAAGAAGTAGAAGTATTAGTAATGACTATCAGATTTGGTTAGAGTGAACTATGCTGTCTCGACAAGTATCACTATTCCAATGTCCTTACAATATGCTCTCAATTATCTCTCCTCGTCTTACAATCTCCTCATACCTCTTGAGAGGCGCAGTATTTATAATGTCAGGAATAGTCCATTATTATTATGGGTAAGTTCCCATAACATTAAGGTTATCGACGACTAGACCGGTTCTCCTATCAGGCATTTTTGGTGAGGAGTGCGGTTCGATATCCAGTAAGCTGCAATAAGCTGTCAGGTTTGAGGTTTCGCGTAAATACTGTGATTGGTTCGATAACGATGATGGGGAGTTTTTGCAAGAGGAACGAAACACATGGAGAGAAAAGGGAAATCACCGCCCTCTGTGGGATCAGGTTGAAATCATAGACAGAGAACATCATTGGAAAATTCGTAAACTTAAGAAATCAGCACATATACTAGGCCACAAAACTCTCGTGAGCCGACCAAGCATAGAAATGAATACAATATGTGAACCATTAATAAGGAGTGCCAGAGAAAAGCAATAATAACAACGAAAAATTGCCATATGAGATTTGATAAAAAAACATGCAATGATAACAGCAAAAATTGCAAAATGAGCACTGGTAAAAATGGTTACTGAAAACATTAGAATTATAATTCCCAGAAATTCATACACAGATGTCCTCAAGGACACATGGCACAATGTATAAAGGCGTTAGTTAGATCCAGTGACTGGACCCAAAGAGTTGTGAGTTCAATACCTGTTTAAGGCGGTGGAAAACTTGGAGAAGGGGATAACTGATAACTGGCATCCATTAGACATGGCACGTGGAACTAGAACAGTCTACCCCAGTGAGCGAAATAAAGGGTTCTGAAGAAGGCCGGAGCGTACAACGGCCGAAACGTTGTGATAAATATGGCGACAAAGATGAGGATGATAGTCCGAACGATGTAAATAGAGAAACGAAATGATCTCTCATGTCTCTTTCGAAGAAACCTGTCAGAAGGAGGGGGAGACAAAAAAGTGATTGTCGTGACCAAGGATACGAAGTAGAAGGTGGAACATAGACTTTGTCATATGATGGACTGTCAAAGCTGAACAGATAAACATTGCAGCAGGCATGAGCGATTCAAACCCTGATAATACTTTTTACATTGTATATGGTCCGTGAACCTATTTCTAGTAATAGATGAGAATATTCTTGTTTGTAACCTCAATGGCGCACGGAAAAAAATGGCGTGATCATCTCAATGAGCTTTTCAATCGTCCTTCTGGATCGGATGATGTTTTTTTTTCCGGTGGAATTAATAAGAAGAACCGGACGCTTCTCTGTCATTTGCCGTAAAAAGCTGAATAATGGACGACCACCTTGGTTGGATGTTATATGCCACCGAGTTAAGAGAGAGAGAGAGAGAGAGAGAGAGAGGTGGGGAGAGAGATCATAAATAATAATAGTCGCTCGTATTCGAGGATAGTCGTCTACTAGGGCGGCTAGACAATCCCTATTGCAGACGCTCCCTCAGGCATATTGGTGTTTGACCAACAGAGCCCACCTGTGGTTCATATTACAACTATGCTGAGCAGACCTTAGTTACAGTTTCTGGGAGAGAGAGCGTGTGATCTAGAGTGATCAACAATTTGAACAAGTCCAGCACGCTCAAGCCCTCGGCCACGATGACTTGTGGTAGCACAGCTATCGATGGACCTCAAGAGTTCCGTCTACTCACAAGTCTTGGGTCAACCCGTGGTATGGTATTCAGGCATTGTTCAAGGGTGCCGCTCGCAATATATAAAGGCATTTTTATGGATACAAATATTTAAGTAAATTCACTGTTTATAATAAACAGTATTAACAACATTTACCAGCCAGAATTTGCGAGAAATTTTTCATAGAAAATATCCGTCCTTCGACAGGAATCGAACCTGTATCCTATACGGAACCGTCATATAGCCTGACGTGCCTTAACCGATTGGGTCACAGAGGAGCGTTCGGTTAGCAAGGTCGATTTTACTGTTTTAAACAAAATTCTCTTTGATTTTCTCTCATACATTCAAATCTGCTCAATGCGTATCCAAATGTAAACAAATGTCGGCATACATTATGAAATTGTCGGCATACATTATGAAATTGTTAAAATCCAACAATTATTTTTTAAGACATTTTTTATGTTTATACGTTCTTTATATATTTGTATCTATAAAAAGAAGCTAAAAAATAAAAAATAACTGAGCGATGGGCGTGGGCGATGTTGTGAAAACGTATTCCTAAAATAGAGTATTTTGAATGAAAAATAAAAAGGATTTTATTTTAATCTAAAACTTATATGTACGTTAGTCGAGCATTAATCTTGCTAGAAAAGGGGATATATTAAAGAAGCCAGGTCTAGTATTCACCGACGTGATCATATTGAAACGGAACGCTGATCTTGAAAAATTTCAGTTATCTGTTTTGATTAGTCGTACTCTTATGTCCATCGTCTTTTCATGTTGAATTAAATATAGTCTAATGTTAATTATGTTTTATGAATATGTCCTGAAGATGGTCTACTAGACCGAAACGTCCGACGTTGACATTATATTAACATTAAAACAGCATAATTGCATATTAGGATTTTTGTTTGTTTTTTCCGTATATTTTTCTTCATATATATATATATATATATATATATATATATATATATATTTAAAAGCCTTGGATATTTTATGAACGCGGGTGCTTAAAGTGATGTCCATCACAATTTACACAGCTTTGAAATCTAACCCCATGCTTTGACAAACATTTTTGCACAAGCATCTTTGTGTATTAAGATCTTGAAATGTCTCTTTGATGTCATTTTTCAAATCACCAACACTTTGTGGTTTTCAACTATAAACTTTGCCTTGAGGACTCCCCAAAAGAAAAAATCCATTGGATTGGACCAATGAATTAAACCTCATCGGCCAATCCATTTATCAGGAAATGCTTCATCAAGATTCTCACGGAGGACTGAACTTGAATAAACAAGCAACATAGTTAAGTATAATCCTAACGCGAATCTTATTAAAACCTACTGACCTTCTATATTTGTGTCACCTTGTATGCCTGCTCTCAATGTAATTTCACCAGAGCTCCCGATGCTTGAATACGAAAAACGTGGATCTTAATATAAAAAAAAAAAAAATTCTACAAGACGAACGATGAAAACCCGGGTTAAATAAATAGAGCTGTCCTTATCCGCGCATCTCGAAATTAAAATTTAAAAAAATGGTCAGCAGAAAAAAAAAAAAAAAAAAAGAAAAGGAAAAGAAAAGAAAAAAAATTACTTTGCTGCTTCATGTCAAACTTCTGCGGGAAAGATATCACAGTGTTACATGTCTTGTCACATGTGCGAACCGTCTGGGCGTATGACGTAATTATTCATGCTTCAATAAACAAGTTCGCTGTCGGGCTAAAGTCATCGATATGCAATAACGTTTAATTCTTCGGTCAGTATTGGAAAAAAACCAAAAAAACCTTCATTTCCCCCACGAAAGAATTGTATATTTACACCTGCGCTAATATCAATACGCACAAATCACATGCACTGGCACAGACGCGCGGTCGTGCAAACACACACACACACACACATATATATATATATATATATATATATATATATATATATATATTCGCAGACAGTAGTGTTTCGCCGCATCACAGCTCCTCAGTGCGACTAGACAACCGAATCAAAACCCAA